TATGCCTCAATTGATAATAGTTTTTGAAAACTACATAATATAATATAATTCTTAGCAAACTTACATTGACAAAAGGTCATTAAACTAATATAACTCCCTATTACCATTTTAGACAATGTTTTATAGAATGGACTAATAAGAAAAAATTTATAGACCACCTTACCAAATCTACAATTCTTGAAGAAGAGAATACAAACTACCAATCCAAATCATAAAACTATATGATGGATAGAGCTTCCTCTTAGATGACATGATGGAAGCTAGATAAGTAATCGAGAAAATTATTGTATGATATTAAACTTCTAAAAGATTATCTTCCATTTTCAATGTTATATAAACGACTACACAGTTGACCTATTGCTTATCTAAAATGTGCGATCATATGCTCTCAGCAGCTGTAGTAATAATCTTAAATTACATAGCCACACAAATAATAGATGCTGGTTAATTTGGATTCCTATCCATGACACTCACGATGGTAACCCATCACAATTTATTCTGTTAAATAAATTGATAAAACAAAAATATTAAAACCTTTAAAAGAAATTATGCAAATATATTGAAGCCTTGAGTTATTTACACGGTAAGGATGCCATATTAGAAATGAAACATAGACGACTACATAGTCGACCTATTGCTTATCTAAAATGTGCGATCATATGCTCTCAGCAGCTGTAGTAATAATCTTAAATTACATAGCCACACAAATAATAGATGCTGGTTAATTTGCAGTCCTATCCATGACACTCACGATGGTAACCCATCACAATTTATTCTGTTAGATAAATTGATAAAACAAATATTAAAACCCTTAAAAGAAATTATGCAAATATATTGAAGCCTTGAGTTATTTACACGGTAAGGATGCCATATTAGAAATGAAACATTTTGTAACTACAAAATAAGAACCAGAGTGATATCATGAAAGCAATTAAAATTTTATATATTATTGTCGCACTATCTCTAGTTGGCATATTATATCTTAAAATAATAGTAGTTTCTAGTTTGTAATAATATCAAAAATATATTTGTATTAAAGATTTAACTCAAATCTATTTTTCGAAGAAGAAAAATATAGCTTTTCTAAATACACGCAAAAAGAGAAGAAAAGATATCTGATTTATTACATCTATTGTGGGATGAATTTTAATTTTAATTATATTTTAAATAAATAAATGGCGTTAAATATTTGTAAGCAAATTGTTACTTATATTTATTATCAAAAGCATTTATTAGTAAAATTTTAAAAATATTAAATGTAATATATTATATAACTCAGATACGTCTGTAAAAGTGGCATTTTACCTAATATTTTATAAAAAATTATATATAATAGAGGATTATAAACTATATGTCTACTTACTTTTTATAAATAAATCTCTTATACTTATTTGGATTTGGACCTTGAAAATAATTTTAGTAAGAGACATGATAATTAAATTTAAAAATCAATAATATAGTTGATTAGTGATTTTGAACTCGGCTAAAATATTAAATTATTAATTTTCAATTAATAAATGATTATATTTATTAGGATTATATAATAATTTAAATAATAAAAGTCAATTAAGCTTCAACTGTTAAAGCTAAATTAATATTTGGTGAGTGATATTGTTATATTTTTAACATAGAATTTGATTGCAAGCTGACATAGTATTTTATATGTTATAATCCAATCTAATAATCAAAATAGTATTCATTTAATAAAAATTAAGATAGTCTTATTAATTTTTTTAATAAAATTAAATCTATATATTACTTAATAGAATTATAAAAGAAATTATTCAGAGGGCAATTAAAAAAAATTATTTTTAGCTCAAGTAAATATTTTTTTGCTTCAGGAGGCTATTCAAATTTTTCAGGGGCCTCGAGCTCCTGCGCCCCCCCCCCCCTCCACCAGCGACGCCACTGCATAACCTTCAAAATATTTATGGTTTTCCAAAATATTCGCCGAGGCCCAACCATTACAAAAATGACAATAATACCTACAACAGATCTTATAATTATAAAGATCGTGATTGTTAATCCAATACCAACTAATATTAACGTTTTATTTTATTGTATTAACATTATTTTAAAATCAATTTATTTTGACAATTGATATTTTTTTTTTGATATCAATTTTAAACGAATTTTCATTTTACATAATTGGTTATTATGTAAAATTAATTTATTGTTAAAAAAGATATAAAAGGAAAATTGTTTTTGGTTAAAAATAAAAATGTAATTTATAATAATAAAATAAAAGGAAAATTTGATTTATTTTAATATGAATATTGTAATAATATAAAAAAAGAGAATTAATAAAAATTATATGTTAATTCATCAGTTTCTTGGGATGGTGAATTATCATGAGTAGTAAATACAAAATTTACATTGACAAACTAGTAAAAATATATTTGTTTATCGTCATCCCAAGAAAATGACATATTTAATAATGTTAAAAATATATTATTAAAAGAGGAAACAATAATTCTTTATTCAACCGATATTCCTGTTATGATTTCCTATGACGCTTCCGAATATGGTATCACACAGGTTTCCTAGCATCGAGGACACTTACGGCGGCTAAAATTAATTACGCCAACATTGATCTTCAACGATCATATTTTCTATGGAGAAGTTCTATAATACATTAATGGAAGACATTTTATTTTGGTTACGGTCACAAACCTTTAAAATATATTAGGTGAAAAAGGGACCTAAAAAAATAACAAATAACCTTTTAATACGGTTAACAATGAAGCTATTAGATTACGACTATATAATTCATAGACCTAGTAATTAAAACAAATGCGCCAACGCTCTTTCCCTTTTGAAGTCCAAAATCGAATGGTTTGGCTGAGTGCTTTATACGTAAGACAAATATGAGTTTTTATGATGGAAAGAGATATGGAACTCCGGACCAGTTAATTTAGCGAATGTTTTAATTACTCACCGAAATACTCTAAATGCAACTACTCGTAAATCCCCTGCCGAAATGATGTATGAATGACCGCTCAGGACGAGGTTAGATCAATGGAAACTATCTACAAGAGTAGGGACTGAAAACGCATTAAAACAAAAATATTTAATGATAGGAACATTGAGCCCGGTGAATTTGAAGAGAAGCTAAAGGTTTGGGTAGAAATCAAAAGGACTACAGCATGGCATGAAGGGACCGTGTTTCAATGGAAAAGTGCTGTAATGTACAAGCTAAGGAGATACCCATAACAATGTCGGAAGATTTGGACAATGCAGAGCATAATGGGAATTCAACTCTTAAAATAAAAATTTTCGAAACCTCAATATGTTATCTTGACGAATTCAATTTTTAGTGGGGAGAAAGAGAACTGTAATGAATTAACTTTAAATTTATTGTATTTTGTTTGAATACAATTTAAGGTAATTCATATATTATCGTAAATGTACTTTCGATAATTTTAGACTTCGTACTACTGGAGATAAAAATAATTTATTCTTCAAAATTACAATACATTTATACATAATAACTTCTATTTACATATTTAGATACTAAAATATAATATATCATAATATAAAAAAATTCATAATCTAGTTAAAATATAAATTAGAATATAAACGTAAAACATAAGTTTTTAAGTAAAATAAAAATATTTTTCTAAGATGATGAAATATTTCGTGCAAGGCAAGTAATAATAAAAATATAATGTTTTTGAATATTTTTTGAATAATATATAAAATAAATATATAAAAATATTTTATATATAGAAAAAATAAAATAAACTATTAATATTAATAATATTTGACAATGAAGATGTAAACATATTATTGTTATGTAAAATTATCTTTTGATCTTTTCATTTTCTTAAAATTAAATTATATTTTATTCTTATAAAACCTTTTATATCTTAAATATTACCTACAACAAATTTTTAGCAACAAATATAATATGAAATATAATTTTCGAATCAAAATTTTTTTTTTATTCTAGTATTTTCTGAACGATACATTACTTATATAATTATTAAAGCATGATTAGTATTCTTTTCACATATGATTATTTATTATTTCGAATTCATATAAATATTTTGGTAACTCACAGAAACTTGGGAAATTTTTAATTTTTTTTTAAAATATTTTTTATATTTAAAAATAATAAATATGCCATCGTGTGGATATGAGTGGAAATTTTTTGATGTAACAATAGTTCAAAGTTTCATTACTCAAAATCAAAAATTTTAAGAATTTTATATTTTTTTTTTGTGAAAATTTTCGCGATTCTTTAATTTTACATTAAAATGGGAAAGACGTGTGCTATATTAAATACTACTAAGTTAAACTATGATTTTTTTTTGTGAAAATTATCCCAATTCTTTAATTTTACATTAAAAATAGAGTATATTATTTAAAAATTTTAAAAATGCTACTAGGTAAGGACTATTAAATTAAATACTAGATAATTAGGATAAATTTATTTGAATAAACATAATATATAAACTGATAATATATAGATATATATATATAATTTTAAGGAAAAACCTATATTGTTGTTCTATATAAATTTATATCATTTAAAAATTTAATTAATTTACTTAAATTTGCCATATTTATAATATTGAAAAATAAGAATATTCACTATAATTTTATTTCAGTTCTGATAATGCTTGCCTTAAGACCCCTCCATTAACGCTCAATACGTTGAGTATGGGTCGAAAAGTTTCTGCTGTGATTGACCTAGTATTGAATATACATTTACATTTTTTATAACTTGAAAAAAGATTAAATTTTAAGATTTGTCCTATAGCATATTTATTATTTTTTAATAAAAATATAAATAAAAAAAATATTTAAAAAATAAAATAATATTAAAAATTTCCTCGAGTTTCAGTGAGTTACCAATATTTTAAAAAATAAACACTAGTATATATATATATATACATGTCTTTTTGAATATGCCTCTACAAATTATATAATTATTTATAAAATTTTTAAAAAATTCACACGTATGGCAGATTCTATTAATAAACAATTTTTCCTAAGGAGACTTTAAAGTGTCAATAGTCGTATTGGCTAGTGAATGGTCTGATTTTTAAGGCAAAATGTCATCATGGTGAGTTAAATAATTATATATAAATCGGTATATTTTATATCCCTTTAACCCTTATTAAATTTTTTAAGAGTAATCCTTAATTAGATATATAAACCTTAATAAAATGTAAGTTCATTTGTTTGGACTTTTATCATTTACTACTAATATGGATTTATTTATTTTTAATAAGATTTTTCCGAAAAGTATTATGCTACTCTAAACCTCATAATCTAACGGTCTTGTATTATTAATTTGTTCCAAATAATATAGATATACTAATTTTTAAAATGCATATAATATAAAATTTTTTATTATTTTATAAAACTTTCATTTAAATTTTTTTTTTCAAATATAGCATTATTTTGCTTAGTATAAAACTATTTTATAATTTTATCCAACTAATATAATTTATCAATTTATTTAATATCTAAAATTATTTTTAAATGTATCTCTGCTTTGATATTTCCGCAAAATAATGTAAAAATGGTGTAGTCCATTATTTAATATGACCTATCATGGAGTCTTGTCATAAGAATTAAAGCTTTTTAAAATTTTAGAAACCCAACCAACATTGACTCTGAACCTGGGTTAAAAGAAATGTTGACCAGAATCGAACCCAAACTAGAGTCTAACCCAGGAAGTTGGAGAGCCTGGTTTTAATTTCATTAGAATTGCCAAGACTATCTTTAATGATATTACTTTAGGACCCAATGATAGGGGGATTAAAAATATTTTTGGGGTTTCACCCTCAAACCCTGTTTTGCCCAGCTTTCAGCTAGGTCCCTCCTATAAATAATTATTGATTTTTTGGTTGTCAATATATTATCTCCTTTAAAGTTGGCTGAACAAGCCATTATTCTAAAATATGGCAATGTTTTATACTTTATTTGTGTCTGACTTTAACCAATATCATTATAAAGGAAAAAATTATCAGTAACAGCCAATCTTAACATTAGCATTTATTCAGTAAATTTTATCAATGTTTAGATCATAATTATATAATAATTTAATCTGTTTGTAGACATATGGAAAAACTAAAATTGCCAAAATATTTAGTTAAAATTGAAATATAAAAAACTATATATATTATATGCATTAATATTTAATGCCTTACTAGTACTTACAGTTCCTAACTCAAATATGGGAACCACAAACAGAAACTGATCTATAAACAAAATGAAAATGATGTCATGAGTATGAAGTGCCAAGCTTTTAGAAATACTAATTTTGAAACTTTTGCTAAACCATTAAATATGGCTTTATTAGTATATTTTATTGCTTTATTCTCTTTGGAAGTTGGTTTAAAGAGGAAAAGAATTAATAGGTAAAAAAATAAAATTTGTCAATATTAACATCATAATATTTAGTTCATTAATTTCTTAGTCAATTTCACCAGCTAGTATTGTTAAACAGCTCTTGGCTATCAATATTTTATCCAGTAAAATATTACACAAGCCTAAAGATTTTTCTCATAGATACAAAGGTTTAGACATCTATTAATATATCGAGGCAATATTTTTCTAGTTGAAATATTGAGTTTTAAAAATCGGCTCAAATCAAGCCATTTAACAACACTATCACCTGCCATTAAAAAATTAAATGAATTATGAACCATAAACTAACTATGATATCATGTCTTAAGCGTAAAGTTAGCCAAAATCTCGAAGCATTATCTCTGAAATTTATGTCAATAATTAGTGTGTATTTCATACTTTACTGTTTTTACCTGTTTAGAAAAACATCTTTGGCAAAATAAAATAAATTAACATTATGAATTAAACTTATTGAAGAATAAATAATATGTAATGCATAATTAGTACCTACTAGTTCATTGATCAGTTTTTTTAGCTTATAAATAAAAACCAGTTATATAAACAAAATATAAATTATGGCCTGAATCTTAAATAGGGCTTTGCCGATCCACATATTTTTCACCAATCCTATATTTTCTGATATTGGTTACGACCCGATCTAATACCACCTATATATATATTGATTTTTCACTACCCCTCTTTTAACTAAATGTTATTAAGAAATCTATTTTTTATGCAAAAGAATTATGCATTTTATTTAATTTTTTTATTTCAACAATAATTTAAAAAAAATTATATTATAATAGATAAACTAAATTTAATAATATATTCATTTTATGTTGGTTTATAAAATTGTAATATTTAATATATAAAATTATAATATTAGATTTTTTAAAATAAATATAAGAGCCTCTGAATTAGGCTTCTACGATGAGGACTATCAATATCCCCTGGAAGGCAGACTAATATGGGACACTTGTTGCTGGCACCAAAAATTTACATGCAAGTTTTGATAAAGTTGGATATTTTACAGCATTAACTCTCCAATATTCAAGTGGATTCAGGGGATATAATATCAATATCATCATGTTATTCAAGTTTTCTAAATAAAGAACACAAATATAAAATTAGCATTTATAAAATAGTGGGTTTCATACAAACCCAATCTTTTGTTGATTTTGAAAAATAATCAGATATCACCCAAACAAATGGGTCAATCATAACCCAACCAAGCAATATTTAAATTAATATGAAAAATATGTTATTATACTTTCTATATATAAAGATTCTTTTAAATATTCCTTGATTTCTATCAAGTATGGCAAGTCATTTACATTATTATCATTTATTTTATTTGTTACTAGTTTTTCTTTGATTAGCATCCCTTAAATTAAATTTGCATTTTTTAATGTTATGTGGAACATTTTTCTCATTGTCATTACCTAAGTTAACAATAAAATCTAAATTTATTAAAAAAAATTTAAAACCTGGTGAATCTTTATTGGAAGTTGAACATTATCATCACCTTTAAAAAAAAACTCACATGCAGTCCTGAGCTTTTAATATATGAAATTTTTGGCAAAAAGAAATCCTTATATCAAGGACCAAGTAATATTGTGATAAGATAATTGTCATCATCATAAATATCAAAAAACCTAGTTGTTAAAATATTATTAATGGTAAATTTCATGATCTGCACACCTCTATCTGTGTCCCCATTAATCTTTAATTCACTTTTCAGAATTTCAGCAAAGGGTATAACATTGCTAATTGAACATGATTCAGTACTTATTTCTTTTGTTACTCTCTGAATTACAGAGTTGTTAAAAGATACTTTTTAAATGGATTTAGATACAGATACATCGTCTAAAAATTTATCTAGATACAGATACAGCTTCTAAAAAGTATATTGATACAGATACAATTTAAAATGTATCTATATACAGATACATTTTTTATTATACTCTTAGATAAGTTTTGAATAAACCTAAATTAGAATTCTATTGTGAAAATTCATGAAATGATCTAAAAAATTTATTGACTCGATATCACATTTATCAAAATATAATAATGATTTTTAGATATTAATATAATATATGATTAATATAAATAATTATTATATATCATTAATAAAATAATATAATATATGATTAAATGATTATAAATAATTATTAGATTTCAGTAACAACCACTGTCTGTTGGCAAATTATATTTTTTTGTGGAGCTAATGTTTTGATCATTTTTATAAATGAAGGATTTTCAGCAATTGAAAATGGCTGAATGCTATCTATAATAAAATAATTATTAAATCATCTAAAGTGGTTTGGGTTAAAGTCTGAGATCTTTTGGAAAAAAATCAATAGACGATGAACCTAGTCTCATATTTTCTTTAATAGATTTTTTTCTCCTTCCCCTTTTTATTTGGATTAAGAGTGTTTGATGTTTTCTCTTAAAATTTAAAATTATAATTGTAAACATTTATTTAGTATCTATACCCTTAAATGTTTTACAATGTTGCAAGTTGAGGTAATGCTAAGTGAAATTTGCATATTTTTTGGTAGACATGGCAAAGATTTTACTAACAGAGATTTGTTTTCCTTATTTTGAAATGTTATTTTAAAATATGGTCTATAAATTGGCCATGGAAGAATGTCGTCATTTTCGTCATCAATATTAATATAATAATTAATTTAATAGAATTAAATAAAATACCAATTCCATTGCAATTAAAAATGGCGAATTCCTTGAGATGGATTGTAATATCAGAATTTGCTTGTTATTGATAACTCGGACATAATATTTAATTAATATTTATATATTCTTTTTTATATATAAGTTTTAATATTTTACATATATATATATGGTGAATTCCATATCAAATCAACAAAAAAAAGTCGATTTTCAACCCGACTTCCTTCAATTTTTCTTAAATTTTGTATACTGGTAGTATATACTATAATTAAGAAAAAAATGAAATTTTACCTTCCAACACTGTTTACACGCTAAGATATGGCCGTTTAAAGCGCGGAAGAATGGTACATTTTTGACAAAATGCACCTCATTTATTTTCAAATATCTCGAGTAATAATTAAGTTAGAAAAATAATTTAAATTTTATTTTGTAGCTTAATAAAAGTTCTTTAAAATGACATAAAAATAAATATGATGGACATTTGATTAATATCGAAAACCTAATGTGTAAAACCGGAAAGATATCATACTGCTTTATATTTGTACAAAATCTTAGACTGGGATGAACATGAGTTTAGGAGTTATCACTCTTTATATGGCTAAAATTGAACAAATTTAACATTAATATTAGTGAAGGTCACGGTCCGGTCTTTGGTCTAGACTGGACCGATACCCTCAGACCGGACCGGACCACGGTCCTTAAGAAAAAGATCGATCCAGACCGTGGTCCTAAATAAAAAGACCGGTCCTAGACCGGTCTTTTTATTTGTTTAAAAAACATATTTTTTTAACCTAATTTGATTTGTTTTATCATTTTATTAAATATAAGAGTATTAATAAACAATAAAATTTATCCAATGGTATTGAAAAAAATGATTTTGTGCTTGTAGAGGGCATATTAAAATTAAGAGTAGATTGTGTTTTTTGAGATATTTTCATTTTCATCATTAGAAGTATATATTTTATGTTTTATCAGATGTCTGTTGAAGGTACCTAATTATTTTATTAAGAATAAGGT